GAAATGAATGAGTGAACATAACTTACGAAAAGTAACCCACCAAATCGGCTAGTGATTTGACAGCGTTACCCGCCACAGCTGTTTACCCGCATATGGCAGGTTGGCGGGTGTTAATTTCAAACCCTGGTAGTACGGTTTCACAAAATAAAACGGAGCAAATAAAGTGTAATGATATGAATAAAAACAGTATTCTCCCACCAAATAATGTAGTTCCTCAGAAACAGTTGTGGTTGCAACAAAGTTGTTAGTATGCTTTGAAAGATGATGTGAAAAAAGACAGGGAGCCAAAATCTTAATCGTCATAAGAATATATTATCCGTTTTGTTGTAGTCTGTAATTGTTTGGCCAGAGCCAAATCATTTTACATGACTCAGAAGGTTTATAATTGAACTTGTTGCTGTTGACGTGTTGTAATGCAGCGCCCTCTAGTGGAGGATTTTCTTTGCAAGCTTATTCACTCACTCTCTCTTTTGTTGTCTGTTTGCTGCTCGCATTTCTTCTCATCTAATCGTCTCTTTTGTTAGGGAGGGCATGGCCACGGCCACAGTCACTTTCCTGTGGAGCGCTATGCCAGCTCTAATGGAGATTTGGAGGATGGTGTGATGGAGAAACTGCAGAATGGAGAGGCTGGAGGAGCATCTTTACCCAGAGCCGAAGGAGATGTCAGAGGACTCGGAGAAGACGACAAAATGCTCAGCACTGGCCAGACAGTACAGGTCAGGAATAAACCAAATTACAAATTTCAGTTCACAAAATCATTTCATGTTTTTAGAACAAATGTGGGAATCTGTAGTTTCAGATAATTGGGTTTAAGTGACTATAAGCCTCACTCACAATTATATCCCTAAAAACCTACTTGAACTCAAAATTGACCCTATTATGTTTTCTCATTTATTTTTGTCAATTATGAGTTTCCAGCTTATAAAAACTTTCCATGTCTTTGTTGAATGTATAATTACAGCTTGGAAACTCTCAATTTAATGAATGCGCTGACTTTTTTCCGTTCATCTGTTAATAATGACGTCATGTAAACGAAACCAAACTATAATAAATGTGTTTCAAGAGCATATAGATGTGAATAATATCATAGTCATTTTGCTGTCATCAAAAAAAAACAAAGCCAGTCATGTTGTGAGAGTTGCCATAGAAACATAATTTTCTGAGTCTGAGGACGTGAATAGCATCTCAGGGTTGTCTTTTTGTAATCGCCATAATTTCAGCGCGACATGATTCATCAGTGCGTGCTAGGACAAAATTATTGTTTTTGTAACTTTGATTAAAATGCAACATCATCTCCATCTAAAACAGCTTTTTCATATCTGAGCTACAAGAGCCCTGCAGAAGCTAAAAGAATCTTTCATGATTCAATCAAATTCTAATGGATGTACATTACACTCAAAAATCATATTTAATGGTGCGGACATTCCCAAAGTTGTTTCATCTGATTTTGGGTGCTATTCCTTTTAAAAGGGGATGCAAATCAAGAAAATAAAAATATTTTGTAACAAATAACAAAAGTCTTTACTGTCACTTTTTATTAATTCAAAAAAAGGAGGACAAAAAACATACCGACCTCTACTGTTATGAAAAATTTTGAATAAATGCTTTCTTTTTTAGCTTTTTATTCATCAAAGATTCCTGCAAAGTTAGCACAGGTTCCAAAACATATTAAGCAGCACAACCATTTCCAGCATTCATATTAAATCAGTATATTAGAATGATTTCTGAAGGATCATGTGACACTGAAGACTGGAGTAATGATGCTGAACAAATTACATTTTACAGTATATTCGCATAGAAAGCAGTTTTTTTTTTAATGTAATAAGATTGTGCAGTATTACTGTTTTTCCTGAGTTTTTGATTAAATGAATGCAGCATAGGTGAGCATAAGAGATTTCCTTTAAAAACGTGAAAAAGTCTTAGTCCAAACGTTTGAAAGGAAGTGTCTTTATTTGGTCTGTATTTGTGTCCCTGCCGCAGGACTCTCAGAGTTCGGGTGGATGTTATTGGCTGAAGGGCAGGGCGTACTCTGACATCGGCACTCTGGCGTGGATGATCACTCTGAGCGACGGTCTGCATAATTTCATCGATGGTTTGGCTATCGGAGCCTCCTTCACTGCTTCTGTGTTTCAGGGCATCAGTACGTCGGTGGCAATTCTGTGTGAGGAGTTTCCACACGAGTTGGGTGGGTGTTAATGTCTCTGTGATGTGACTGATCCAAGATGGCCCCGAGTCTGTCATGTAAATGCTCTGCTGCATCTGTGTGTCCAGGTGATTTTGTAATCCTGCTAAACGCTGGCATGAGCATCCAGCAGGCGCTCTTCTTTAACTTCCTGTCAGCGTGCTGCTGTTATCTGGGCATGGGCTTCGGCATCCTGGCTGGGAACAACTTCTCTCCTAACTGGATCTTTGCTCTGGCCGGAGGCATGTTCCTCTACATTGCACTGGCTGATATGGTAAGAATGGGATGCTGTTCATTTGCTGAGTTTTGAAAGGCTTTGGTATTGCGTTTGTTTTTATTGATTCCTAAAGGTGGGTTTCTAAGATCAGTGAAGTGTGAAAGAGGCTATTACTAGTGCTTTTTTTAGGGATCCTGTAGGTTTAATTTGCCCTTCTGCAATTGAAGGTATTAAAAACACCACATAGACAAAAAAACAACATAAAAAACTTGATTTTCACTACAGGGGGACTTTAAGAAGGTCTTAAATCAGAGCGGAAAGTCTTAAATTCAAAGTCATGGCATTAAATGTTGCATGCACTGCAAAAAAAAAAAAAAGAGAATATCTTCCTCAGTATTTTTGATTTCCAGAATATAAAATATCTAAACATTCTTAAGTCAAGATACATTTACTTAAGACATAAAATGAAGAAATTAAGTCTTGTTTTCTGAGAAATTTATCAAAATTAAATGAGTTTATTCTTAGAAAACAAACAAATGTCTGACAGTGCGGTATGAAAATAGCTTTTCTGTGTGAATTAAGTTGACTTTTCCAAGCCCATTGGCAGATATTTGTTCTTTCACCTTCATAAAACCCGCGTAAACCCTGTATTGTTTACTAAAATTAAATACATTTTTGCGAAGTAAAATCATTTAATGTACATGTAAACCTAAACTTAAAAACTATAGTAATATAATCATTTTTAAAAAATCGTTTGGCCTGCATGTTTGTGTGGGAAAATACATTCTACCTGCAGAAGGCTATGTGACTGATTTTTTTTTTTTTATAAAGAAATTATTAGTTACTAAAGCTAAAATACATACATATTTAATAGAATTGTTAAATAAAAACTAACTAGTACTAGCTTAAGATAAAAAATACATATATAAACAAATTTGAAATATTTTTTAAATAATTTTATTCAACAGGATTAATTAAATTGATCAAAAGTGACTTTCGTAAATAATGTTATATTTCAAATAATTGCTGTTCTTTTAAACTGTCTATTAACCAATCTTGAAAAAGTGTATCATGGTTTTCACAAAAATATTATTTTTGCATTGATAAGTTTCTTGAGCAGCAATATTGCGTTTTTAGTATATTGTAATATTTTCTGAGGGATCATGTGCCATCACAGAAATAAATTACGTTTTAAAATATGTTCACATAGAAAACATTTATTTTAAGTTTTTAGCAATATCGTTTTTAGCTGTATTTTTGATCAAATAAATGCAGGAGGATAAGAAACTTGGTGACATGAAAACAGACAATGGCATTATCCTAAAACTGATGCTGTTGATTTGATCATTTTTCTTACAATCCACGTGTCTTCATATTCCTTTGTCCCTCTCTGCAGTTTCCGGCGATGAATGAGGCGAGTCGTGAGGAAGAGGAGGCCGGAGGAAGTGGCTCTCTGTTAACTTTTGCCATCCAGAACGCAGGGCTGCTCACAGGGTTTGCCATCATGCTTGTCCTGACCATCTACTCTGGACAGATACAGCTTGGATAGCAGAGGACCTAAATACAAACTCAGACACTAAAGGACTATCTCAGCACCTGGACTTCAATATGAGCCAGCTGTGCTTGTTTTAAAACTTGTGCCCAGCTGGACTAGGTCATGACATACATTGAAATGTTTGGGCTCCAAGTAAACTCTGGACTGTTAAAATGAGGCTAGAATTGACTGACCTGTGAACTTTGCTTTAGATTCATCCAAAACCCAGGACCTATTGATGGATGTGCTGCCATTCGTCTAGTTTAGGCCTTCTCACGTTCTTTTGCCTCAAAAGCTTTAGGACACAGTGATGTCCCTATATACATATACATCAGGGCATTTTTGCATTGATTTTTAATGTTCTCATTATTTAATTTTCAACAAAATGACTCTTTCCCTCAGAGACGGGCCTGACTATGAGCTTTAGACTGGATGGGATGAAACTTGACTGACATTTACATTTTTAAATGTAGGTTTTCCCTGTGCTTCATACCAAATGTTTGTTTATTCAAAAGAAAAATTCTAATACCAGTTGCCTAGAGACAAGATATAGATATAGACTAGTTAGTTAGCCCTCATAATTCTAGTAAACTGAACATTATGTAGGTCACTTTAATCAAAGGTAAGTAGATTTTAGTTTGGATACAAAGCAGTGTCTGTTCACTAATATATCCCTGTTTGATTTTCCCCCTCAATGCCATTCCATAATAGCAAGCGAAAACAGTAGATGCTTGAAACTTTAAGGCACTCATTCTTTTGTTATTGATGGTTTTTATTTGATGTCTTTAACGAAAAAGCAGAGACCAAGGTTCTTCCAGAAAATTTTCCTTTAACTTTTATCTTTCCGTTAATGTGACCAGAATAAGTGGCGCATGCTTTTAAAAATACCCATTTTTTTTTTTTTTTTTTACTTTGTATAACCTTGCGTATTAATTGACAGAGAAAAATCATCACCCAGTTATCATTGCCTTTAATTATGATAATTACTCTTATAAAACACCTATTTTCCACATCCTTTCGTTTGATCTGAATGCAGCACTCTTCATAATTAAAGAAATAATTAGGAAACGCAGGCAAAATGTGTGTAAATGTTGTGTTGCAGTGATTCTACAATAATATGATCATTCCTTATAACCTTTCCTTTACATATTGCACTACAGCACAATTCTTAGAGCTCGTTGCTAATTAAGCATCTAGACTGACAAATCATTTTGAATATTGGTGGATTTGAAGCTGAACTGTGTAATTTAACTGTTTAGTAGATTAGATTTCCTAATCACTACCATTGTTTTAAAATTGTATTTCAGTATTAAATATTGCTTTCAAATTCAGTGTTTAAACGTTTAGGAAAAAACATCAACCTACAGATGACTTGCTTATAACATTATATCTGCATATTAAGATTGGATAGAATTTTTTTGACACTTCACCTTTTAAACATTTAAACAATTCCTAATTCTAAAGTCAGGAATATTATTATATGATCTATGATACGGATGTTAAATTTCTATGCAGCAGCATATAATGTCAGTGGATAGAACAAGCTATGAGATTATTCAGAAATTGATCAGCCTTTGCTCACTGTAGATCCCTGGGTGTCAATTTTGTCTTCCACATAAAATCAACTTTCCATTATGCTTCCATTGCTTAACATTCATGCTAGTAATATATTCGTATCAGCTATTGCACAACATCAGTTGAACCTGACACCACAGTATGCTGTTGAGCAAATAATTACACTGTTCATCACATGAAAGCTCATTTTAGCTCTGTATGAACTGAACGTGGTGCGTTCTTGTGCGTATAGTCAACAGATCTGATTGTAACTTTATTTCAGGGCCGTATTTGCATTTTTTGTTCATTTAGACTATCAGCGTTATTTTTTATATATATATATATATAATGCCCCTTTGTTTAAGTGTATGTAGTTGCATGCAGCTTTGTGTGCAGCCATTGTTTCAGCTGGCGTCTTATTGCTATGCACCGACACGTCCTCTGAAGTGAGTTTATGCCTTAAAGAGAGTCTAAACACCATTATTCAGTGGTGAAAAGTTTTACGTTTTTGTACCTCATTTTAAATTTTAGTAATATTTAAAAACTATTTTGTAGTGTAGAATGTGTGTGAATGTCTTTGTGATTTTGAAGTTATTGATTTATGTATTTTGTCATCAGTAATTCATCGTATTTAAATGATAAGAGGGAGCTGTTTTGTTTTTGTTGTTGTGAGAGCGTTTGTGAGCAAATCAACATCTCCGTGTTTTTTTTTTTTTGTGGAAGGTGAAGCTAGTGTACCTGTTATGATGAAGGCATTATTTTAATTACTGTAAACATCTCAAGTGTTGTGTGACTCGTATGCAACTTGTGAAATCTGATTGCTGGTGTAACTTTTTTTTTTTTTTTTCTTTTGAAATATTAAGCCATGAGCTATAAGTTCATCTTTTGTGCAATTAAAAAAAATGAAAAACATGATACAATCTGAAACTTCTCATTCATTTAATGCGATCTTGGTTTTTTCTATTTTTAAAGTGAGACTAATTATTTGAGTGAATTACTTTATGCTTATGCAAGTCATTTATATTTATATTGATAAATATAGCCCAAATATTGCCCAAACTGAATCCAAGATGGCGCCGCGGATGGCAGCCATGGTTTGTCGCTACTTGGTACTTGTACTTTTTTTGTTTGTTTGTCCTGTCTTAAGCAATTTTTTCCCGATCAGCTTTACTAGGAACGAACTCCTGGACATCAGAAATAGCACACCAAATAACTTTCTGCCGACATTTGAGCATTCAGATGTTTTACTGGACATTTTAGTCGGAGGAGCTGCGTTCCTATACAAGCGCTCCAGGCGACGCAAGCGAGGGAAACGCGCCGGCGCGCTCGTGAAATTCCAACAGCGCGGTTTTAGGACTCCGCTGCCGAGCATTCATCTGGCGAATCTCCGCTCCCTAGCAAATAAATCAGACGAACTACGACTCCTCACCCGCACAAACAAGGACTTTTTAAACTCCGCTGCGCTCTGCTTCACGGAAACCTGGCTGAACGGAGCCATCCCGGACAACGCGTTACATCTAACGGGCTTCCAGCTGTTCAGAGCGGACCACGTCACCGAGT